GTAGTGATGAACTCGTATCTTTAATGATTCCACAAGGGTCCTTGGTGATATTAACTGTTATACTATTGAATTAGACTCAAATATCTCTGATAATTGTTTTATAGTAAAAATTAGATGTTAAGAGGTGTCATATCTAGTTTTGTAAATGGGCCTAAGTTAGTTAGGTTGGGCACTGTAGCCTATAAATGAGAGTCATAGGGTCTATTATTATGTGTATTGAAATTCATGGCCATGTGGCCTTCATCAATAATATGAGTAGTATTCAGTTTATCTAGTTCTTTACATGGTATTTAGTAGTAGGTTCGAATGGGCTCACAAGCAAAATAGCCCAATTCTTGGAGACACTTTGATTAGTACACAGACCACCGATATCCACGACAACATCGTCATGTAGTTTAATTGCTATGCCCATTCTCTATATCGTGGGTAGCCCTAGTTGCTGTTCCTTCGAGCAGTTGCCATTTCTTCGAGCATCTGTCGACTACCATTCTTGAGATTTCCATCTCAAAAATTGTCGCCTCTGTCATCACATGCATCTCTGATGAGAGTTTTCGAAAAAGAACCATTCTTGTGCCTTTTGTTCTTATCATCTCTTCCTTTCTTCCCAAATCGATCGCCCTACGTCCCAATTTCAAAGTTTAATAAATTACGATGGATAAAGAAGATGATATAGCAGCAAACACACACTCTCTCATAGACTTCACCTAGCCTCTGTATCTTCACTTGTCGGACACTCAATCTGTGCCCTTGGTATCTCAAGTGCTACAGGGAGCTGACAACTATGAAGTCTGGGGTCGATCGATCAAGCTTGCCCTTCTCACCAAGAACAAAATAGGAATTATTGATGGAACGTGTACCCGAGACAATCAAGATGCCAAACTTCATGATCTCTGGGATAGGTGTAATGCAATCGTGCTATCTTAGCTTGTCAATTCGATGGACAAGCAGATAGCTACTAGCATAGTCTTCTCTAACAGTGCAAGATTGGTGTGGTTAGACTTAAAAGGATCACTTTCACAAGGTAGATGGTATGTGTATTTTTGCTCTACACAAGAAGATTAATTCCATGACCCAAGGTACTATGAGTGTATCTAAACATTACACTAAGCTTAAGGACCTCTAGGATGAATTTGATGCTATCATGCCACTACCCACCTATAAATGTGACACCACTCAAGAATATACCAAGACAATTCAGCAACAAAGACTCTTTCAATTCCTAACCGGCCTGAACAACAATTTTCATTAGGATCGAACACAAATCCTTCTTCAGTCACCACTTCCCATAATCAGTCAAGCCTACTCTATGATTTGTCAGGATGAGTCTCAACAATATATTTCTACCTACACCAGTAATTCTTCTTTTGACAATGGCACTATGGCAGCTCATGGTGGAAGGTAAGGGAGGGGCCAAGGATGAGGAAGAGGTAGATCCTTTGAAGAATGTTCTCATTGTCATCAGAAAGGCCACAAAAGAGAAAATTGTTGAGTTGGTCAGTTTTCCCACCAATCTTCAAGGGAGACAACCTTATAATCCTACTACCATTACCACCATCTCATCTTCACCTTCTCTTTCACCAAGTCAGATGCCTCTTACCCAAGAACAATATGATCAAATATTGAGACTCCTACAAAAGGAACAAGATGATATAGCAATAGGCATAACTGACTATCTGGAGGAAACCATCTCAGGTATAGTTCTTGCTATCCCTAGGTCATTTTGTGAATCTAAATGGATCCTTGACTCTGGTGCAACGCGTCATTTTGTGAATAGTCTAAGCATGTTTAATACAGTGGATAAATACTCAGGTCCTATAAGAGTAATTAAGGTTCCTGTTCGCAATGCAAGTGCACGGGTCGTCACAAGTAATAAAGTGATAAGTAGAGTATCGTTCTCATGAGGATTTGGTTTCAAAACTCGGTCAAATATTGATTATCACACTTTCGCTTAATTTGAGTAACACAAATATCAAGAGTGAAAGCAACTGTTTATAAAATTAAAAATTAATAAAAAGAAAAAGTGATTCTTCAATTCCAATGATTCAAAGGGATCTAGGATTATTTATCCCCCTTATATTTCAAAAGTACTCAATTAAATCCTCATTGTATTTGCTTCTTAATTATAGATTATGCTAGCCAAGGACACTAAATTACCTATAAGTGCTCTCTCAAGTCTCCAAATAGGTGTTTGGCTCAATTAATTCCTTAATCTGTTAATTAATTAATTAAGCCCCAATTTTAATTGCAAACCTTATGTGACTATGTGAGGTTAATGAGTATATCTCTATCTCATTAACAAAACCATCCATCCAACTCGCAAATTTCAAATTCTCACACAATTAAACCTAAGTTCTACACTCAATCTAGCCCTCTCAAGCATCAATCAAGAGAACCCAACAACCTCATTGGTGGCCAATCAACAAGAAGCACTAAGCATAGAGTAAAATCAACACAATCATATCATTAATCACAAATATATAGGGGAAATGAGTACTTAATCCATACAAAAGTTCAAAATCATCCTAGAATCAAAGTATTTAGTCACACATACTCAAGAAATCCATGTAAACATACACCTATATCAACACAAACATGAAACAAGAGTAGAGAAAGCAAGATAGAGAGGAAAAACCAAGGAAAGAAGCCCAAATCTCTTCAAAACTCCACCTCCTAGCTCAATCTCCTCCAAGAAGCAAGCCTTAGCACAACCAAATACTCTCAAGAACCACCCAGATCTGAAGAATGGCGGCCAAAGTCGAGTTTTAAGGCTTAAAACCTATAATTTTTGAGCTTAGTTGAACTGTGCATTTTGCTATCAATGACTGTGCCATGGCCTAAAAATTTTGCGCCACAGCTAAGTTTTCCTCTATTTTAGTTGAGCCGCAGCCAAGTCAGAGTGCGCCGTAGCTCATTTGCCTTGGAAAGTTTTGTACTTCTAGCTCAAATGAGGAGTTCTACCTATGATTTGGCCTCTATTTTTTCTTCTTTGATCACCATAATATAATTCTTTAGAAACCTTGATCTTTAATTCCTTCCGAAGTGCTTCCAAGTGGCTTGAAACTTTAATTTTTAGACCAAAATAATCTTGCAAAAGTGACAAACTTTATAAGCTCAAAAACAACAAGGATAAATGCCAAAATATGAACAAATACAAGTAAGAGTGCATAAAACTTAAAGAAAAAGTACTAAAATGACATGAAATTCTAGAGATTAACAGTTCCTAATGGTGACAGGATGCTAATCACTCACGTAGGCACTGTTAAGATCCTTGATAATGTTGCTCCAAAGGATGTTTATTATGTTGTTGGTTGCTGTTATAACCTCATTTCTGTATCTAAATTAATAGCAAGTAAAGAATTTGTGGCTTCATTTTACTATGATTATTGTACACTGCAGGACACCTTAACTGGGAAAACAAGGAGGATTAATAGCCTCTATGGTGGTCTCTATATCATTGAAGAAGTTAACAAAATGGATAGTGTGATGCATGTTTCTACTAAACACGTTACTTGGCATAACGGATTGGGTCATGTTCCCATGAACAAACTTAGATAACTAGACTTGATTCAGATAGAAGTTCATGTTATTATTGATGAGAAATGTATTGTTTGTTCTCATGCTAAACAAGCCTGTTTACCTTTTCCTTTTAGTACTTCTAAAACACATAGTAGTTTTGAGCTGATTCATGTAGATGTTTGGGGACCCTATAGGGTTCCCAATTATAAAGGACATCGCTATTTTTTGAGTGTTGTAGATGATTTTTCCCTCTATACTTGGACCTTTCTTATGATCAATAAAAATGAGGTTGTTCATCATTTAAAGAGTTTTCTGCTTTATGTTGCTATTCAATTTTCTTTTGTTGTTAAGAAAGTAAGAACAGACAATGGTTTGGAATTTGTTAATGCTGAATTGAAAACTCATTTCACTAGTAAAGGGATAGTACATGAGACTTCATGCCCCTAAACACCACAACAAAATGGGGTGGTTGAAACAAAACCTCACCACCTATTAGAAGTTGCTAGGAGTCTTATTTTTCAGTCCCATATTCCTTTAAAATTTTGGGGGGAAGACGTACAATCACTTAATTATTTGATCAACAAGACTCCCTCTTCAATTTTAGTGAACAAGACCCCTTATGAAGTTCTATACAACCATCAACCAGATCTGTCCACTTTAAGGGTCTTTGGGTGCCTAGCTTTCGCTACAATTTTATAGCCTCATGATAAATTTCAGCACCATTCTGAACCTTATGTTGTTATTGGGTACCAACTAATCAAAAGGGTTAATTATTATATAACCTTCAATCCAAGATTATCCATATAAGTAGGATTTTATTTTTGAAGAATCTAGGTGTCCTTTTAAAGATGCAGTAGGTCTCAATTAAGGGGGGAGACAACAATATGCAAATGATTGAATATCCCTTTGGCAATACAAGTAGAAGTTATGATACTGAACCAATACCCCCACCATTAATTAAATCTAACAATCATAATAACCATTAAGAACAATTAGATGAGGTTGGAGATCCAATAGATGTAGAAGCTCCTCAATTATCTTAGAGACCAGACCGAGAAAGAAGGAGACCCACTTGGATGAAAGACTATGTATGTCATGCTAACACAACTTTTAAGTCATTGGTAGGTTATGCTTGCACTATAGATACAGATCACACATTAATGACAAATGCAAAAATGGTAAGGTATCCAATGCAATCATATTTATCTTATTCACATATATCACAAGAGTATAAACATGTTTTGTCTAGTTTTGACAGCATTACAGAACCATCCAAGCAGAGTTTAATCATAGTTTATGTAGATGATCTTGTAATCACAGGAAATCAAGCAGAGAAGATTGATGAAGTAAAGAAATTTTTGCATAACAAATTCAAAATTAAGGATTTAGGTCAACTCAAATATTTTGTGGGAATAGAAGTAGCTAGGTCAAGGCATGGAATAATACTCAATCAAAGAAAATATACATTAGATATTTTGACTGACATGGGTTTGACTGCAGCAAAGCCACTTAGTATACCTATTGAACAAAATGTAAGATTGAGTAGCAAACCAAGCAATCAGGGAGAAGACCCCTTGACCACAGATCTAAGCACATACAGGAGATTAATAAGTAAATTGTCATATCTTACTGTGACTAGGCCTGACATAAGCTTTGTTGTGCAGGCACTCAGTCAATTCATGAATGCACCAAGAACATCATATTACAAGGCAGCAACAAGAGTGGTCAGATATTTGAAAGGCTATCCAAGACTTGGAATTAAACTTGCAGCAACTCAAAATGTCCAATTGGAATGCTTTGTGGATGCAGATTGGGGAACATGTCTAGATACTATAAGATCCATGACTAGATATGTAGCCAAGTTTGGTGGATCAACAATATCCTAGAAATCAAAGAAACAGAATACGGTTGCCAAATCATCTACAGAAGTAGAATACAGAGCCTTAAGCAGTGCTGTGTTAGAGGTTGTATGGATCAAACGGTTGCTGGAAGACCTTGGAATGACTAATTTGAAGCCTATGCATGTTTACCGTGATAGTAAATCAGCAATTTGTATTGCAAACAATCCTATGTATCATGAGAGAACCAAACATATAGAGATAGATTGTCATTTTGTTAGAGAGAAATTACAGCAGGGAATTATAAGTCTAAATTATGTAAGAAGTAAAGAACAGCAAGGTGAAATATTCACTAAGGGTCTAGGTAAGCAGGATCATGATAGAATCCTGAGCAAGTTAGGAGTTGTAAATCTTTATGCACCACAAACTTGAGAGGGAGTGTTAAGAGGCCTAAGTTAGTTAGGTTGGGCCCTTTAGCCTATAAATAAGACAAAGTCCATTATTATGTGTATTGAAATTCATGGCCATATGGCCTTAATCAATAATATGAGTAGTATCTAGTTCTTTACATTAGGAAAATTGGTTATGGAGCAAGCATTGCACTCCCGTAAACGTGAACCAACTTAGTTAGTTAAGGATGATTTAGCTTCTGGTCTTTCCAGGCTTTGTTTTGATAAAAATAGAGTTTGTGATGCTTCATTTTGATTTTAATCTCTCAACTTTCAAATCATAGGTTTTGGTCTCTCAGAAAATAAAATGATCCAAGTTTTTATTGGATTATAAGAACCAATATTTTAAATGAAAGGAAACTTGAGGGACCAAAACCAAAATGAAAGTAAATTAAAGGATCAAAGTTTGTATTAATCCAACTACAAATATTAAAAAAACATTTTAAAATACTTATAAAAAAAGTAATTGTTTGGTTGGCCAATTTATCGACCCACTTCAAGCGGGTTTGTGTTTACAAAATACCAACCCACACCGGCCAACCCACAAACTGTAACAAGTAGCAAGCCCCGTTGTGCACTTTACCAAGCTCTTGTATCAATAAGACATTAATGAATGGTATTGTCAACGCTTGCCGATATAATTGCCGCAGTAGTTTAACATTGCAGGCAACATGTAGCTCAAGAAGGTTTTTTCAAATTTGAACGTGTAGCTGCTCATAAAGTTTTGGCCTTTGACAGTGCATCCAAAACTTGAAAAGGGGATTTCATTTGATTTTATATTTGAAATTTTTGTGAATTTTTTATTTGATTTTGTATATTTAAAATATGTTTTTATATTTGATTTGGTTGTGTATATTTAAAATTTGACTTCAAATATCATGGTTAAATCAGATTATGATTTTTTTCTTGAAAAAAGAAAAAAGAAAAAGAGAAAAGTTAGCCCTTCGATTGTCCGGGGAGGATACCATATAATCTCTCACAAAAAAAACCTACCATGTTATCAATATAATGCATAAATCACAATAAATTGACAGTTTTCTGTTAGAATAGGGCGACAACAAACTTAAAATAGAGGGAAAATTAATATTTGGTAACTCTAGCATTATTACCGTTTTACTAAAATTATTAGCGAGGATATTACAAGTAAAAGCAACCTCAAAAACCAACCTTTTGAGTTGTTCGGTTTTCTTTGTAACCTGGATAATGCATCATCATGTCATCGAAATCTCGCCACAAAAAGGATAAGAAGGTAATCTAACATTTAAAAAGGGGTAATACGAAGCATCCTATAAATTCTTGCAAACACGGTTCTCGTATATTCATTAGAGAATTCTCGTTTTGTTCTTCCTTCTTATTTCTTACATTCAATAATTAATGGCGTTAAAATTGGGAAACGAGAGGACTTGGAAGGAAAAATTGATATTTTATTCTTTCTTCTTGTTTTCTTTATTACATATCACCATGGCAAGCCGAGACTCCTTCATTGGTGCCCCAGCCAGTAATGCTAGTTCTACTCAGAAGCTCGAGGTTGAGCAGATTTTGAAGAATTTGAATAAACCAGCTGTTAAATCTATTCAGGTGTGCGCGCGCCCGCGTGTGTGTGTATGAGTGGGTGTGTTTGTGTAACAACTTCAATGCTATATATTGAGCCAATTGCCAATCAACTAGCATTATTTTCCTTTTTAATTATGTGTTGAACTTGGTGGGTACTTAAAACATACAGAGTCCTGATGGAGATATAATCGATTGTGTTGATATTTTAAAACAACCAGCTTTTGATCACCCAAAGCTTAAAAATCACAAAATCCGGGTAAGAATACTTTCCTTTTGTGTTTTACTAGTCCTCTAATCCAGAATTTTGATGGTAGATACAATCAATTATTTCTCATTTGGCTTTAGATGAGGCCAAGTTCTTACCCAGAAGGGACGATAATGGAAGAAAGTAATAATGTGTCTTCAAAATCAGCACCAATTCCTCAACTATGGCACCAAAATGGAACTTGTCCAGGGGGAACCATTCCTATAAGAAGGACAAGAGAAGAAGACATATTGAGAGCAAGTTCTGTGCAACAATTTGGAAAGAAGAATCTCAAGAACATCCCTCCAACAGCACCGAACGTTGGCCATGAGGTATACTTATGTTATGCCTCTATCAAATAAACTACAAGATTTTATTTTTACGTTTCGTTTTGCTTATTTCATGATTTCCCCCCTATTTTTTGTTGCTTTGATGGCTTTGTTGCCTTTCAGTATGCCATAGCTTTTACGAGAGGTGATAGATATTATGGTGCGAGCGCAACCATGAACGTTTGGAAGCCTAATGTTCAACAAAACGATGAATTTAGTATCTCTCAAATGTGGGTCGTAAATAATGATGATAGTCAAAATCTCAACACTATTGAAGCCGGTTGCATGTACTAAATATTTTATGCTTAAACATGTTTAGATATTTCTCCTTGTTATCAGTTATGTCTCTATATATCAATTGTATCTAATTATCCCCCATTTCTCTCAAACTCAAACAATTAGGTGAGTCCAGAACTGTTTGGAGATTATCGCACCAGACTATTCACATATTGGACTGTAAGTTCAAATTTATTCGCAACCCTGCATTTTGTTTGTCCAGATCACAGTCTTAATTATTATTGTAATGCAACAGACTGATTCATATAGAGATACTGGATGCTATAATCTCCTATGCTCTGGCTTTGTTCAACTCAATGCCGGAGTAGCTGTAGGATCCACAATCTGGCCATTATCTTCCTATGGGAATGCTAAATCCCAATATCAAATCAAGATCCTCATATGGAAGGTACCATTTTCAATATATTAGGATCATGTGCTCATATACTCCTCCGATCCTAAAAGTAGGACCTTGATAAATAATTTATAAAGACTGAAAAAAATTAAGTTAGTTATCAATTAGAAATGTGTTAGTTTCTTAAAATGCCCTTTAATTAATCATTTGTATTAGAAACTATCTCTAATGGAAATCCCCTTAATAAGTGCTATTCATAGAGACGGTTTGGAGACTTTTGGAGACAGTGAATTGGAGTATTATATCTTTAAGAACAAATCGATGCTAGCTTCTACTAAGATCGGAGGAGTATATAGCTTGTGAATAGTATAGCTTGTTAATGATTTGATGCTGACAATAAAAAGGATAAACTCAATGGAGACTGGTGGATGCAATATGGAGCGGACAAAGTTATGGGATATTGGCCTTCATCCATATTCACACACCTCTCTGATGGTGCATCATTGATGGAGTGGGGAGGTGAAATAATAAACTCAGAATCTAATGGACAACACACAAGAACACAAATGGGAAGTGGGCATTTTCCTAGAGAAGGATATGGCAAAGCAAGCTATTTCAACAACATCAAAATTGTTGATGGCAAAAATCAATTGGTGCGTCCTACTAACATTACGCCTTACTCTGATAATTCCAACTGTTATTCTATCCAAACCGGCTCTTCTCGTCGATTGGGCACTTTCTTCTATTATGGCGGTCCTGGCAGAAACCCTAGTTGCCCTTAATGTTGTATAGTGGTTTTAAGGTTTTATTAGAATTTCTATCAAAGATCTCATATTTTCCTCGATCCTCTTGGTTGGTCTCAAATGCTTCGTACATTCTGGATGAGAATATAATACAGCATTAGTATATCGGTGAATCCGTGGATGTGTCCTATTGATTATGTTATTTGCATTTTAAAGCTTAATCCACTTGCATGTCTTACCACTGCAATCTTTCAGTAAAATTCTTCGATCTATTAGAATATGACGAATTGTTTAAAGGGAAAAGGAAAAATTGAAGTTGAAAAAAAAAAAAGACTTTGTCGATAAAAAAAAAAAGAAATTTGAAAAAGGGCAATGGAAAAGGAAAAAAAATTATAAAGGTAACGGTAATTAGGGAAAATCAATACTCCTCCGATCCTTAATATATGACCTAATTATTGAGTTAATTTTGGTTCTAAATATAAGACCTATTATCATATTTATCAATTTTTTTCTAAATCATCCCTATGATACTCCCTCAACCATAATTAAGTAGAAGAGGAAAGGAGGATATTCAAGAAGATGATTATGATATTTTAGGAAAAACATGTCATATTTCTTATAATTAACTAACTTATCTAACTTCGTTAATATAATCCAATTAGTTAAATAGATCTTATATTAAGGACCGGAGGAGTATAATGGATAATTTTTTTTTTTTTAACACGTTGTAATGCTCTCAATGATTCTTTTTCTTTTAAAAAAGGAAAGATAACATGCGCTTCAATAATGAACCCCGATAAAAGTAAAACATTCCCTTATATTGGATTTTTTTGGTCCGTTAATTGGTATATTTTCTTGAGAAAACCAAAAAAAAATCTGCAAATTACTAAATCTCAAATGAAAAATTCTTATAAAAAATTGTTATTATTTGCAGGTCAAGTATAGTCAAAATATTAAACCTATTAAAGTATAAATTTTTTTATTTATAATTTAGTAATTTTCAGGATATTTTTGTGATATTTTTTCTATTTTTATTTAAGTTACGAAATCTTGTAATTATTAAATAGGGAGAATTACTATGAGATTTCAAGAGAAAAAAATTACAAAATAGTCCCAGAAGTTGTTGTCCTCCACTTAAAAATTTGTCATTACAAGTTGTTCAATTTGTTATTAGGACCTTTTAACAATCATTTCTCTTCCTTAGAATTTGATTGTAATTCTTCCTATTAAATATTAGATCCTATTGTTCTATTTTTGTGTGTGTTAACGGTTAACAGTTACCACATGTTAATAAAGACTAAGGTAATTTATTCTTATTGTTGGCAAAAAAAAAAAAACAGAGAATTTATTCTTATAATTATTATAAGCAAATCTTAAGAAATACGGTAATAAATTATTACTTTTGAACAATATATAAAGCAAACCTCAAAAGAGATTATGTAATTTATTCTTATAATTATTTATAATTTTTTTTGCCAACCTTATAATTATTTATAATTACAATATAAAAAAATTTCCTTAAATAATGCTGCTTTCCCATTTTTGTAGTTAAACTCATTTTGGTAAGTAAATTTGGTCGAGTCATAGAGTAACTTCAAATTCAAGAAACTACGCACACAGACATCCTATAAATTTCTGAGCCTTCAATTCTCCAACACCGACTTGAGAATTCTCACAAAGGAGCTATCTTAGCTTAGCTTGTTTTATATTTCCTCAACTTCAATAGCGGCAAACTTGGGAGATCATAATACTTACTGGGTAAAGAACTATGTCTTATTCTGCTTCATCTTGTTTTCTGTACCTATGGGGATAGCAGACGGGGACAAGAATGGCGGTTCTGTTCTGAATCTTGAAATTCAGAAGCTTATGAACCACTTGAACAGACCAGCTGTTAAGTCTATCAAGGTATACATGCAAGTCTTTTTTTTTTTAAATGAATTTTCAATTTGACAAATAACAGTTCTCTGCCATTCTATATTTTATAATTGATTGGGCTAACCGTTGGTGTTTCAAAATCAGAGCCCTGATGGTGATATAATCGATTGCGTTCATATTTTAAATCAGCCAGCTTTTCAAAATTCGAAGCTCAGGGATCACAAAATTCAGGTGAACATAATTTGCTTCAAGTTTCTTTTCTTTTTCACCGAACCAAAGGTTTCTCTCATTCACAAGCTAATTATCTCTCATTTTATGAAGATGAAACCGAGTTTTCATCCAGAAGGAATGATGTTTGAAGAAAATGAAGCATCATCTTCAAGGCAAAAGCCAATTTCTCAGTTGTGGCACCAAAGCGGAAGTTGCCCAGAAGGAACCATTCCGATAAGAAGAATAAGAGAAGAAGACATCTTAAGAGCAGAGTCTATCCAAAGATTCGGGAAGAAGAACCACAAGAGCATTCCTGAGTTTACATCTTTTAAAACTGAAGCTCAGCACCAGGTACATATACTGTTGCCACTGTGCGCGTATCTCTGAATTTAAACACAAAAACCTCTGGTTCCTGTAAATACATGTAAACTAACGTAGTTTCTTCAGTTTTATGCTTACTTATTAGTGTATTTTTCTTCTATTGCTTCTTTGATGATTTTGGAACATCTAGTTTGCCACAGTTTATGTGACGGGAGATAAGTATTATGGAGGCAAGGCATCCATGAACATTTGGAAACCCATAGTTGAAAAGCATAACGAATTTAGTAACTCTCAATTGGGGATACAAAATGGCAATACTAGTAAAGGTTACGATAGCATTCAAGCTGGCTGGCAGGTATATATTCTTTAATTTCTTTCCAAAAAGATTATACCCAAATATATTACATATCATCAACCAATAAACTTCTCATTTCTGATGTGCTCACCTGAGTTTCTCTCTCCCTCTCTCTGTTTTTTGTTTTTTAATTTGGAAAATTAGATGAATCCACAGCCATATGGAGATAATAACACCAGACTTTTTACATTTTGGACAGTGAGTTCAGCTTTGTCAATTCACAACCCAAATTGTAGTTTCATCAGATCATTCTCTTGGTTATTATCATTATATAACTAATTTACTGATTTTATATGACAAATGACAGGCAGATTCAGGTCAAAGTACAGGATGTTTTGATATGCTTTGCTCTGGTTTTGTTCAGCTTAACAATGGAGTAGCTGTGGGAGCCTCCATCCAACCATTGTCTGTCTATGGCGACCTTAAATCCCAATTTGACATGACCATCCTTATTTGGAAGGTACCCAACTCTCTTTTCATATCAGATTACATCAATCTCATCATTCTGATAGAAATATAACACGGTTGTTTTCTCACATCAGAGGGATTTCAGCTTCGTTTGATGCATAATTGAATCTGATATATATGTTTCATCCGATATATTTAGGATCCAATCAATGGAGATTGGTGGATGCAATATGGGAGAGATACAGTGGTGGGATATTGGCCATCGTCTTTGTTTGGACGCCTCTCTGATGGGGCAACGACGATACTGTGGGGAGGTGAAGTGTTAAACTTAGCATCTGAAGATGGGAAACACAGCACAACACAAATGGGAAGTGGACATTTTGCTGGGGAAGCTCAAGGGAGAGCAAGTTATTTCAGGAACATTACAATTGTGAACGGGAAAAACCAATCTGTGCCTCCTCCTAATGGTGTTGCCACTTACTCTGATCATGTCAAGTGCTGCAATGTGAAAATGGCATCTTCTAATGATGAACTTGGAGCCTACTTCTATTTTGGTGGTCCAGGAAGAAATCTTGCTTGCCTTTGAGAGAGAGAGAGAGAGAGAGATCATTATGCAGATCTTTGTATTACTAGTTTTCTTTTTTCCTAATCAAGATTTTTGTGCGAATAAGAAGGCGACTTTAATTCTTTATTGTTCCCTTAGTTATATCAATTGCTTTTGATTATGTCGAGTTCTTTGAATTAACCTAGTAATTAAGGAGTACTCGTGGAGTGAGAAAAAGGCTAGTGAGACAAAACAAGTGCATTAAAAGGCATAACCTTTTTTAAAAAATGAAATTAAAAGGCATAACTCACTACAAAATAACATGCTTTTAGCTATGGAATTTAATGATGGATTAGCGACGAAAACGGATTAGCGATAGAATTTGATTAGCGCTCTTCACAGAAATTTCCGTCGCAAATCCATTGCTAAGGCAATTTTTGAAAAAAAAATAAAATGCCATGTGGCACCTCTACCAATCGCCACGTCATCACTGGTGACCACCTCCACCTGTCGCTGCCACTTCACCTCTACTGCCACATCACATGTCACCTTTGCCTGCCACGTGTCACCACCATATAAGTCCCTCCTCAAATTGACTTCTCCATGGCTCAAACCCAGGACCTCTTCTGTGCACGTGTGCGGTTTTACCAGTTGAGCTGTAATGAACCTGTTGACTTATTATGTAAAATTATATATATATAATATTATTTTACACAAACAATTATATATACATATATATTATTAAAAACTAAAAATATACTATATGATAATTTTAATTATAACAATTTTAATGACAAAATAATTTTTAAATATTTGTTTTATCATTTGTTTTATAATGTTTTATTTTTAAAATAATTTTAATTTCTAATGACACTAATTTTGAATTTTAAATCATAAATAATTTTTTATAAATAATTTTTAAAATTTATTTTTTAATTAACATTGATAAGATATACAATTTAATTATATATGTATTATATTACATTATATTATATTATCTATATGTGTTTTATATATTTGAAGAAAATCATTTACAATTAGTCAAAAAATCTTGTTATTCAAAAAATAACTACTATAATAAAATTTAATAAATTATTCTATATAAAAAATTAAATGATTTGAATAGATTATGATAAATAGTATTATCCTACTTATATATATATCCTATGTAATTTATTTTTTTAAAATTCTTTGTATATACCATTTGTTTTTGTATTGAAGACCAAAATCAATCTATATCATGGGTATTAATTACATCATGATTAAATTTTATTGTTTAATGATTGAAATTCAAAATTCACTTCAATATTAGTTTGCGTTCATATAAATTTATTTTTTTGGTTTTGAATTTCTATCATATATTATATATTTCAATATATTGTACATATGATAAAATTATTTCTTTCTTATATCAGTTTGTATAAAAAAGTTATTAATATTCTTATTATATTTTTTAATTATTATTAATAATCAAGAGGAATTTATTTTAATGAAATATAAACAAGTTTTCTAAGAAATTATCTTTCTATTTTCAGTATATACCTAATGATGACATGAATGATTGCGATATCTTCATTAACACCAACTCCACAAATATATCAATTTATTTTATAATTAAAAATGTTTTTAAATTATTATATTCTTAATTGTTATTATATAAATTTTTGTAAGATTATAATTTAAAACTAGTGACAGATTAGCGACAGAATTGTGACGGAATAGAATTAGCGACAGAATTAGTGATAAAAACTTCTATGACAAACAATTTAGCGACGAAATTAGTAACGGAAATTTCTGACGGAAAAAATTCCATTGCTAAGGATTTTTTGACGGATTAGCGACGAACAGAAATTCCGTCGCTAATATTAGTGGCGGAAAATTTCTGTTGCTAATCCGTCAAAAAAATTAGCGACGGAATTTCTGTCACAATTCCATCAGAAATCAGCAACGGAATTTTTTTCCGTCACAAATTCTATCGCTAATCAACTGTTTTTTTGTAGTGACTTATGGGCAGCAATGACAACGATGTACAGCAACTTATCTCTTAAATGAGCTCCTCCTTCTCATTAAAAGTTCTGGGTGAATTATCTCTTTTTCTTGGGCATTGAGTTTCATGGCACAAAGGCTGGCTTTCATCTTTCCCAAAGGAAATACTACAGAAGTGTTGCAGATTCTGTTACAGATGTTCTTTGACTTATGGCTGTGTTAAAAGAGATAAATAATCAGCTGATTCGTACTCCCACCATTTGGTGTGACAATTCTGGCGCGGTAGCCTTAGCTGCCAATCCTGTTCTGCATAATAAGTCCAAGCACTTTGAGCTTGACTTACACTTTATTCGTGAAGAAGCCACAGAGGGAATATTAGGCGTGGGATGTGAATTATACAGAGTATTAATCAGTTTCTCTCAACTTGTGCCTCTGATTTGACTTTCGAATAGACACAAGCAAACTAAAATGGCCAAGGGATATGATGATAAAGACAAGGTTATAGTACATGTATTTCCGCTCAGGTAAATAATAGATACATATAATTCAACATATATAAAAATAAGCTTACTTGAGGCATTAGTTACTAGTAAAGAACTAAAAAGTGAAAAAGCTTCCAAGAATAACAACGTAAAGTTACTTCTTTTTTTTCCCCCTTCTTTTCCTTTTGATATATCTAATCAGTTTTCAAGAGGAAAGACCATGGGCAACCAGGGCTTCTCCCCGGACCACCAAAAAAGAAGTACTTGCCCCAGTTATCAGAAGTACCAAGTTGGACATTGTAGCAGTTGGATTGGTCAGTGTAAGTGCGAGTGTTATTAGGAGGGATGGCTTGATTTTTGCCATTAACAATTCTAATTTCCTTGAAAAAGCCAGCTTTCCCAAAACCTTCTTCAGGAAAATGGCCCCTTTCCATTTGTGTTGTGGTGCGTTGTCCATTAGATTGTGAGTTCACAGCTTCACCTCGCCACATTATCTTTGTTGCACTCTCAGAGAGGCGAGAGAACAGAGCGCTGGCCAGTATCCCACGTATGTATCATTCCCATAAGACATCCACCAATCTCCTTGCTTCGGATCCTGCTCATCATCAAAACATAAATCGATCAAATCAATATTGTTTTACTAAAGTGAACAAATTAGTGTCTGAATTAGATGTTTGTCTCACTAAATGGAAACTCACGTATGTCCCTCCCATGAATGGAAATAGAGATTCTTTCCAAGTTGGTACCTTCCAGATGAGAATGGTGATTTCATATCGGGAATTATTATCACCAAAGACAGACAATGGTTCTATGGTGCCTCGCAGGGCTATTTCATTGTTAACTGGAATAAAGCCAGAACAAAGAAGATTATAGCATCCAGTGTGTTGACCTGCATCAACCTGAGTCAAGTGTAAAATGAAATGGTGAAATTAACAATATTGAAGATTATGACTCAAAGAAACTACAATTTCAAGTTTAACTTACTGTCCAAAATGTGAAAAGCCTTGTGTTATTATCTCCATGCAGCTCTGGATTCACCTGATTTTCCAAATCAATAAAAAAAAAAAAAAAGAGTATAGCGCAGGTAAGCACGTGAGAAATTAAAAATTAGTTTGATATTATATTTTCTGAAATAAGTTTAGTTAGTGTTTTTTTTTTGGAAAAAATAATCGTTTACTTCCTGTAACGTGGACTCAATTATAATTTGATTCTTGAAATTTAAACTCTTCCAATCCCTCAAATTCCAACCTAATAATCAATCAGTCCCAACACTTCAAGAATATCACCTATCCTTCAAGGATTAATTGAGGCATTATCAAATCTAAAAGTATTGCGCTTAATTATTAATGATTATAAATTTACTTAATGGATGCTATAGAGTTTATTTGCTGCCATTATTTTAAGTCTAATTTGAGATTTGAGATTATGGAGGACTATAAACATACATTTGATCCTTTAATTTGATATAAAATTTTAGTCTAATTCTTTAATTTTATAAAATTATCTTTTTAATTCTCTAATCCGACAATATCAGTCTCAAATCATGATTTTTTATGCCAATTAGTACTATTTTTAAAAATTAAACTTGACATCTGTCAACAGTTAAAATTTCAATGTGAGCATTTTCTGTTAATGGCATTAATGTTAGAACAATAAAAAGATATTTTATAAAATTAAGAAATCAAAATGAAGCCTTATATAAAGTCAAAAGATTAAGGATACACTTCTGCCAAGCTTTTTTCAGCTTTATAAACATTTTAATTACAAAATTATATGCTACGTTTTGATATAAAAAGTACGTTAATTTGACTCCCACCAAATTCAATAACCATTCAACCAGGGTTCAAAATAACCAACAGAAAAGGCCGGCCCCATGACTGCAAGGTAAAAGATACAAGCCTAACAAACAAAACAAACCAACCATCCAACTGAACAAACGGGAAAAAAAAAAAAGAAATAACGAACCTTAAACCATTGAATCGGTTAGTTTAACAACCAGTCCCGTTTTGAAAAGAATAAAAACGAAATATAATCAATAAACCATATAGAGGCATATATATTATTGTAATGTCTTTGATCAGCAAGATTATGGAATTGATTATTATGGATATTGGTTATTAAATATTATTATAACGTATCCTTAAATGATACCAGAGGCATTTTTGCAAAGGTGTTAATTAAATCCCGTCGAATCATAAAATTAAATAACTTCACTTTTGAATGGTGGAGGACATCTCATAAATCCCTGACCTTTCAAATCCTAAACATATCGATTTGAGAATTCTTACGAAGGTCCTTCAATGGCAACAGAATCAGAAGAAGCCAAGACTTGGGTGGGGAATGTGTTATGCTTCTTCTTTCTGTTTTCTGTATCCATGGCGATAACAGACAAAGGCAGGGATGGTAGTTCTAATTACCAGAATCTTGAGATTCAGAAGCTTTTTAAGAAGTTGAACAGACCAGCAGTTAAATCTATAAAGGTAAACGATTTTTATAACTACTGTACTTGACTTTTGTTTGAACTTTATCTGAATATTAATTTTGTTTCTCATCAGTGTCTTTAACAATAGGTGAAAGAACAAGAATTACATTTCTGGTTTAATCTTGTGTATTAGGCTATGGTGGATCATGTTATTGATTATAACATATTTAACAAATTAATCATGTCTGTTTTTCTTTCTTGAATATGTGTACTTAGATAATGATGAAACTTTGCATGTTTTATACTTTTATTTTCATAACTGGTTGAAATAACATTTGGTATTAATTATAGAAGTCAGAGCCCCGATGGAGATATAATCGATTGTGTTCATATTTCAAATCAACCAGCTTTTACTGACTCAAAGCTCAAAAATCACAAAATTCAGGTAAAATTAAACAAACCCCATCTTTATTTTAGTTTTCTCTTTGCACACAATTCTGAAGTTAATTTATTATTTCATTCTATTGAAGATGACACCAAGTTTTCATCCTGAAAAAAGTATGCTTGAGAAAAGTGAAGTGTCTGCAAAATCACAACCAGTTGCTCAATTATGGCAACAGAGTGGAAGTTGCCCAGAAGAAACCATTCCCATAAGAAGAATAAGAAAGGAAGACATATTGAGGGCGAAATCTGTCCAACAATTTGGAAAAAAGAATCTCAAGAACAGCCCTCGATGTGGATCATTTGAAACTCAAACCAAACACCAGGTATTCTGTTGCGTCTGTGCATCTCAGGTTTTTTTCAAAATATTGAAAGCGTTAGTTTCATTCCAAAGAGAAGCACCTTTATCATTATATTTATATAACCATGTTTCTGAAATTATTTTTGGGTTTAACTCATATAATGTACTTTTCTTGTTTCTTTGACAAATTTGGATCATCCAGTTTGCTGCAGTTTATGTAAAAGGAGATAAATATTATGGGGGCATGGCAACTATGAACGTTTGGAATCCCCATGTTCAAGAGCACAATGAATTTAGTGACTCTTAGATCTCAATTCTAAACGATAACATTGGTAAAGGTTATAATAGCATTCAAGCTGGTTGGCAGGTATATATTCTTTAATTTATTTAAAAAAATTAATTAAGAAGATATGTAAGAATAGAAATTCACATCACAGGATCGGGGGAGAAATTCACATCAAGCAAACATTTCAAGTCATTCTGTTGTTTCGAAATATCGTAAATCAGGTCAATCCCCGGCTGTATGGAGATAATAACACCAGATTTTTTACATTTTGGAGGGTGAGTTCACTTTCTAGTGATTTCTTATTCAAGGCATTCTCTTCATCATTTGGTAAATATTTCTTGACATTACTTTACATTTGATAGGGTGGTTCAGGTGAAAATGCTAGTGGGTGTTATGATCTTCTTTGCTCTGGCTTTATTCAAGTGAATCATCGAGTAGTCGTGGGAGCTGCCGTAAAGCCCTTGTCTGCCTATGGAGACAGCAAATCCCAACATGCTATCACCATCCTTGTCTGGAAGGTATACTGATTCTGTTTTGTTAAGCTTTTGCGAAATCGAGCTGACTTGATTTAATGTCAAAAAAAAAAGGAAAAATTCCGACATCAATTACAGATTTGTAACAATTTTGTGGAAAAGAACAAATATATTCGTGAAAAAGACCCCATGTATAAATCCTTGAGTTAAGACCAAGTAGATTCATCATTCCAACATACTTTTTACGATCCTTCACAAAAATTAAAGAAATTAGTTAAATTAGCTATGCCGAAAAAAATGTACATTGATTTTTTCTTAAACATTCTCTTTAATTATTTGCATTGAAATTATCTCTCCTTGGAAACCCCCTTAATATGTGCGTAGAATATGGATAGTTTGAGAGAAAATTATAAATTTAAAAAATAAAATGAATTGAAGTATAATATTTAGAACTAGAGTAAACCATTAACTAGTTCATATATTTAGAACAGGAGGGAGTACATCCCTATGCATATAGCAATGTCATTTATTTATTTATTTTTAAATTTTGTCAAAAGCAATGTCATGGTCTTAACCAATGATGTATTGTTCTTTTTTTTTTTTAATGAAAATAAGGATTTTGAAAATGATGAGCAGGATCAAAAGAATGGAAACTGGTGGCTGCAATATGGGCCTAATGAAGTTGTGGGATACTGGCCAGCTTCTCTGTTCCCACTTCTGTCTGAGAGCGCAACAACAGTAGGATGGGGAGGTGAAGTATTAAACTTAGGATCAAATGGACAACACACTACAACACAAATGGGAAGTGGTCATTTTCCTCAAGAAGGTTATGGCAAAGCTTGCTTTTTCTGGAATATTAAGGTTGTTAATGGCAACAACCAAACTGTGCCTCCTAATAATATTCGCACTCGCGTTGACCAACCCAACTGTTACAACGTCCAAACTGGCCAATCTAATGACTGGGGCAACTACTTCTCTTTTGGTGGACCTGGAAGAAACCCTAGTTGCCCATGATCATTCATCTTGAAAACTCATTTACGTCAAGATGAACCGAAGATAAAGAGTTGTGATTTTGAGGCTTTTTATATTGTTTGCATTTTTAGTATTTAGATCTCAAAACAGATTTGTTGATAAAAAAAAAAACCGTTTTCATAACTTTAATTGTTAGAAGTTTAAGATGCCAGGTGCTCTCCAGTGAACATTTAAAGGGAAAAATGTCTCTTAATATTTTTACAATTGATAGCCAAAGTAACCAAAATCGGATGAAACAAGCTTATTATATATATTTAGGATGTAATATTTCCTCACGTTTCTTTAATTTGGGTGTCATAAATGCATTTTGTATATCTTGTTTAGTCGATCAAGGAAACCTATGATATATTACAAAATTTTATATAATTTTTTAACTTTTTTTAGAAAAATAAGCACAGGCATGTTATTGAAGAGTGTTATATTTGAGGCACTGTCATACAATAAATATAAATACTAAGATTTCTTTTAGCAGGAATTTAATATTAGTCCCTTCTATTAGACTTAAATTGTCGTTGATCAATTTTTAAAGTTTGAATGTGTTATATTATAATTATTATGTATAAATTTTGATACTTCTTTGACTAAATCCGCCAAGGCATGTGTCGACCAAAATATGAAAAAACGGAAGTAAGAAACCATGTAAGTTCCAACTTTTTATTATTATTTTATTCATCTATAGTATAGGTATCTCTACATATAGTGATAACCTTCTACATATATGGCTTTCAGGTCTCAGCTTCTCAATATATTGCATTGCACAGCTCGGCTCTGACCAATCCTGCAAACGATACACATGTAAATTCAAAGATGTCAGAAAATTTGTTACCATACCTTAAAAGGTTGACCCATATATCTTTGTTACAAATTACAACAAATGATATGACTTCTTTTTCAGATTTTATGTAGTATGTACACATGAAAATGTAAATATGTCTTACTTTTTCCAGAATGTATTGTAAATATATCTGTAACACCCCGAATTTTATGATTTAGGATGAGTAGAAAAGAGAAAAATTTATTAAAATTATTTATTTTCCAAATAAAGGGGGAAAATTATGGAATAATGATTTTTAGGGTTTAGAGACATTTTGGGAAAGGTATTTCCCCAAAAATGACTTAAATAATTTTAATAGATAATTTTAAGAGAAGAATGGTTTATTTTCTCTGGAAATTATGGAAAAATAGCTGAGAGATGATTTTTGGCCCGAAATTTTTATGAAAATTACTTTAAGGGTCACAAAAGTTATTGGAAGAGGAAAATCCATATAAAATACTATGGATTAATTTTTGGATTCACAAATTCAGGAAATTATGTGGAAGGGGAATAAGAAATAAGGAATAATTAAAGGCAAAATGGTCCATTGTCTCATGTGCACAGCCCGCACGTGTTGCTCCGTCCTTATGACCATCAGAATTCATTTTCCTTCCCTATTTCATTGCTGCCTGAATCTTAAAACGGAGAGAGACCAGAGAAAAACTAGAGCTCGACGAAGAAGTGTCGGAGGTGGTGATCGGATGTATTTGGGTCACATGCAAACCGATTAACCTTACAAGGTAAGCCTCCTGATCATTCTCCTACCCTTTTCTTTTCGGTTTTGTGCGTGGTTTGGCTGCAATGGAGGAGAGAGAGAGTTGGGGTGGAGAGAGAATGTGAAGGAAAGGAGAGAAAGATCAGTGAATTCATGTTATATGGCAAGACGGTTTTTTAAGCTTGCATGTCACTATTATCTCTGTTTCGTGAATTCCCGAACAGAGCATGTGATTTCTGGGTTCATAGGCATCGGGTTTGAGGTATTAGGAGAGAGGAAACGTGTATTATATGAATATGAAGTTGCATGTTGATGATGGTGGTTGCATGTGGATTTCTTGCTCTGTTCTTGTGAGCCAAAACAGAGCTTTAACTTTCTGGTTATGGGGTTATATGTTGGGTCTTTCAGAACTGAAGGAGTGTAGGTATATACATGTGTGTGTGTGTGTATCGGTTTGAATAAGGCTTACTCCTCTATCCTAAGTCAACCGTATTGTTGGAAAAAAATTTTAGTAGGAATTATGGATTGAGGTTTTGTGTGCAGGGGAGATTGGAGTAATACATATATTTATATATGTGTGTTTCGGGTTCTAAATGAATTGAAGGAAGATGATGATTCTGCTGCTGAATGGAGTTGAGTTTGGATATATATATTAGTGAATGTGTGTGTGTGTGGGGGGGGGGGGGGAAGCCGTGGGAAGTATGAGCGGAAAACATTGAAATTGAAATGGTTAATTGGGAGGAAGTTTAGGCATGATATATATATATATATATATATATATAGAGTCTATGTGTATAAGTGTCCGATTGGTTCAGTGATTTAAGAAGAAAAAGTTGCTGCAGTAAATATTAATTAATATGGGAGGAAGATGAAGACATACACGGATATAGATA